TATACATATATATATATATATATATATATATATATATATTAAATAGTTAAGTGTGAAAAGAAAAAATATTCAAACAATGAAATGTCTCTAAACTTTGACGTGCTTTTTCTATGTAGTGAACATCCATAATTACTATATATTATAGTTACTATTTACGTTCATATTATAAGTCAGCCTTTTTTAAAAATAATTGAATCACAATATATGTCATTTTATAAAATTTATACATAAAATATCATATTTTATCCATTATACCCTTATTGTGAATAATTAATAAATCTTAAAAATATGTTTACTTTGATTAACCTTGAAAATCTACGACTAATTAATTTCATTGGGAGAGTAATTATTTATTTATTAATTAACTATTCTTTATTCACCACTTGTTCTATAAAATATGATTTTGAAAAAAAATTTATCAACAAGCAAGTTAAAAATAATCTTGAAAGATGAAAAAAAATCAAAAAAAATCTTGGAAAGTTTGAAACTTCAACAAATTTTATCAAGCAAGATGACATCAAATAATAAATGATTTGTCGTCTAATTTCATTATCAATAATATCAGATTCATCTGGAAAATTTAGATTAATTTGAAGCAATGGAATTTGAATATTTTGTGATGTTGTCACGTTTACTTTAAGAATTTATATATAAAAAAAACATTTTACACAAAATATATAGGAAAAGTGAGATGGGGAAAACTTGAATTTTTTTAAAAATTTTCAATCAATTGGTAAAAAAAATTTGGCTCCAAAAAGTAAAATTTAATCAGTCATCCAAATGCATTTATATTTTTGAAATCTATCCTTTTATCATTTATTACAAAATTGTCATAAACAAACATTAAATAAGGAAATACAGGTAAAATTACCTTATTTCTTGAGCAAAATGAAAAATGAGACTTTTAATATGGGACAGAGGAAGTAATCACTATCGATACTTAGCTACTACTATTAACTTTTTAGACGATGAGATGGTTAAACAACGCAAAATTATTCGAGATTTACTATACTATGTTCTTAATATTTGAAATTAGACATATATTTGTCTTAGTAAAGACAAACAGGTCCTTAAATTGACTTAGAATATATGGTAAATTCCTTTTTTTCTTGTAAGATTAAAATTTGACTGAAAAATACATTTTCAAGCTTTTAAGAATCATCATTTTCTTTTTTAATTATACTAAAATAATAGTATAGTATTAAAAAAATACATGAAACCCTAGGGTTTGAGTGTGCTACCAAAACAAATAATTGAATTTAGGGTTGTCAACATAATAAATATCATCTTGTAAGAAGTTGGTATTTAGGGTTGAAGAAATTAATAATACGCTTAAGGATGTGGCTTAATAATTAATGAAGTAATTATAAATTTTGGAGATCAATGTAAAAAAAAATTATTTGCATATGGTGGGAAAAATAGTTCATTATAAGAGATAAAATTACTCGATACATGTGCTGATAAAATAATAAGAAGGTGATGAGCTTATAATCAAACTTAGTAAAAGGGGTAAAAATAACAAAATCATATATTGTTTGACTTTTTTTTTTCACCCGGGAGCCCACATTGAAGCCCTCACTGAATTCGGATCGCGCTCTGTAGTGTTCATTCGAAGGTGATGCTCCCAACATGATTTTTTTATACCCAGAACTCAAACCCGAGACCTTTTAGTTAAGGATGAAATACTCCAACCAGTGCATCACAAGTCATGTTAACACGCAAATAGATTGTTAGACTTTAATTTTACCTTTTCCACGTTTTTGGTTAAATTAAGTCAAGGAAATTAGATAGTGACTTTAATTTACTTTTTTAATATATAGTTATATGGAAAATATTTCTGATAATTCTTTGACTTATTTTTTTATGCAAAAGATAACTATAGTTAATAACTAATTTGTGTCATAGCATATACAAAGTGATTCTAGATAACATATCGTTCTACTTTATTATATTATTCGATTTATCTTACATTTTTTTTTATTTTACTTGGTAATTTCCCATATTTTTACTTTTTTTTTATTTTTCTTGGTAATTTCCCCATGTTTTCACCTTTTTATTTTCTTGGTAATTTCTCATATTTTTACTTTTCGCCCTTAATAATTTCATCAATTCACTTGCCCTCTTCAATGGGATCCTCTTTTGTCAGGTAGGTTTTATTTAAAAGTAACATTTTGCAAATCGCTTCAGCAGAAGCGTTTTATTTTTAAAAAAAATTATCATTTAAAAAAAATTGCAATAAAATTGCTGAAGTAGCAGCGATTTTGCTTTTTCCGACGAAGGAAATCGATGTTATTCCAACGATTTTGTTGTTTTAGTTAATATAAAATTTTATATATCGTTTTGAAATTTTGTTAACATTTTATACCCTTTAAGTTCCAAACTCTATAATTATACATCGAATTTGTTGTTGATAGGAAATCAATAGACATCAACAAGGAGGGTGTATATATATATATATATATATATACATATATGATCATAAGAGGAAAGGGAATTAAATTAAACTAGTATGTAGTGATTCAAATTACTCCATCGAAATTCAGATCACTAATTAAAACTTTGAACACTGTTAACGAAATTTCTGATTTCGTCAAACATTCTTTTGCTAGTAATTAAAAAAAAAGAAAAATCATGTGCATGTTTTTGAAGTAGAAATTACTTGACTAATTCCACATATTTCTTAAACATTGAATGTACAATTACTTAATACACAAAGTACAACTCTTCAAAGAAGGAAAATGTATTAAAGTTTCCTCTTGTACGTTCACACGCCGTTGAATTTTCCAAGTCTTCTTTCATTTTCTCACTCCTTTCATACCCCCCACCCCACCCCACCCACCCCCAAAAAATATTTTTTTTCTCACATTTTTACTCTATAAATACTAAGCTAGAACAAACCTTGACATGCACAAAATTAATAAGTGAGTGAGAATTTCAATATTATTGAGTCAAGAAAAAAAATAGAGAGAAATATATATATATTATATACATACATAAAAAAAATATTGGGAAAAATGGAGAATAATGTGTATGATAATTATAATCATAATAATAATAATAATGTGTTACCAACAGGATATAGATTTTATCCAACAGAAGAAGAATTGGTGGAATTTTATTTAAGAAATAAGCTTGATGGAAAAAGAGATGATATTCAACGTGTTATACCGGTTGTTAATATTTATCATCATAATCCATCTGAACTTCCAGGTTTGCATATATATATATATATATATATATATATATATA